ACTCACCTGTCGTTTATGACACAGAATCCATGTATCTTTTTGTTTTAATCCCATATTGACACCGATTTCTAAACCGTAAGCATATTATTACATGCAAATAATTAATTTTGAACAAAATACTTAATAAATCATTATTGTATTATTAAGCATATAAATATAATTGACGTAATAAATATAAAAACAACGACATTAAAATACTTATTAATGGGTTTCTTACTTCTAAATAAATTGTTTACTTAGAGAAAAATAGTAAAGTGTTTAATTGTAAAAATAGTAGACTGATTATTTTTTCGTTTCAAATGAGATGAAAAGATAACTTTGTCATAATTGTTTAAATAATTAGACGTCACGTTTTATGAAACGTTTCTTAATGAGGGACGCTAAAACGTTTAAAAATGTTAAACAATATTTAACGCTTGCATGGTTGATGTTTCGTCGTGTGAGTGAGATTACCAAAAACCTCATACTCTTCCCTCTCTTCCATGCTCAATGCCGCCATTCCTCAAATCCCAAACCCGTTTTTTTTTGCAGGAGAAACCCAACCAACAACATCTTTCCCCTAAGTTAGAGCCTGGAAGACAAAGCGGTCTCGCTCAAATTTGTTTTTTTTTTCAGGGGGAAGGTCTTCGACTGTCTTTCCTCACCTTGCGTAGGGTGAGAGGGAGTGTCTATCTCTTACTGACTAAACCCAACCCGTTCCACGTCCTGCTGCAGGCACACACATTATATAGCGTAAACCACAACTCCGGCTGAACATAGTGGGGACCTATTGTGTGTTCTGTGAATCCTTAACCCCAAAATGGTCGGTTCCGCACTTCTAACTCCTGTGGTGTTGCGATGACCCCTGACTGTTTACCATGATCTGCATGCTTGTCTGCCACTCTATCCGATTAAACAATATTAGGTACCGAATATATGTAAAATCTTTCAAATGTAAAATCTGTTGTAAAAAATGAGGTTTTCATCATTACTTCCGAATTTAATTGTTTTATTATTTAATAATTATTGTGAAACGTTTTGCGAGAAAACTGAAAAAAAGAACAATGACCAGTATTGAAATAAACTTCGTTATTTATTGCGAATTGTTGAATTTCTCATCAATGTTAGGTACCTACGGAAACCCGGAATTGTTAACAATTGTTTTATTTTTATGAAATTCAGATTCATCTTCATCTGTATCTGCTTAGCTATTTTTAGATTTTCTTAATGAAAATGCAAATTATCAGCACGTGGTGTCTTTTTTACGTCATGAGTCTGCAAAGGAGTAGATACAGCTGACGGTAAGCAATCAATGCCGCCCATGGAAACTACCAAAGGATTATTGGACTTACTACAAGTGCGTATTCGGCCTCTTGTGGGTTGTAAGGGATTTAAGGATTGGGGATTTGAGAATTGAGGATGTGGGAAGAGGGCAAGAATTGCGCCTCCGGTAACCACACTCATACGGTGAAATACAATGTAAGTGTTGCTTCACGGCACTTTTTCTGAAGCCGTGGTATCACACCGTGGTGTCCGTTCGGAATCTCTTTTAACAACTTAATATATCAAACGAGGTTGATCAAAACATTTGATCCTGTACAAACTGGTTGATACATATACAAAAATAATTGAAGTAAATAGCCGGCGTGTTAAGGTAGGTCAGTGATTCGTGATTAATGAATAATGAGTTAGGTTTGAGTTATCGATAAATTAGAACTTCCACCTAGTAGACAAGAATTTAATTTCTTAAAGGGCCAGTCTATTTACTTGTTTAATTAATTAATATACGAATACACATTGAATCTACTAAGGGTGTTGTTGTGTCAACATCACTTCAAGGAGGTTGGTTGACTTTAACTAAAAAAAAGAGTTGCATAATATGTATATCATTTTCCAGCCTCGGCACAAAAATCGTGTGATAAAATCACTTTGTTGTAACAGGAAAGAAAGAAGTAAAAAATACAATTCCACCTGTTGGCATTTAGCAATGATATAAGGATATTGACTTAAATTCATGTTTCAAGACGATTGATATATTTATTTATTTCTTCTTCACACAAAACAGCCTGAATGGCGGACTTGATGCCTTAAGGCAGTCAGGTTGAATAGTCAACCATATGGGCAGTGCAGAGAATTCTTGCAGTTGATGCGAAGCAAGGGCACAGGACGGAGATATTTATAGTTTTTTTTTTATGTGATAGGATAGCAAACAAGCCGGTGGACCTGTTGGTAAGCACCCGGCGTCACTCAAGGGCAACCTTACACCAGTGGAGTAACGAGAGCTGTGCACTGGCCTTTTGGGAATTAGGGTTTCGTAGATTTAAGGATTGGGGAAGGATTAGGGGAGAGGAAGAAGTATTGACATTGTTTCTACATTAATAACATCTATCCGCCAACTCAAACTTTGCTTATGTGTTAATTCTCAATGTTTCTTTGACCGATTTTTTCTTTCGTACTGACAAATTATCCAGTTTAATCGAATGCTTCGGGAGTTTTGGGTGTATAAAAATTTTGGTGGTTCACATTACATTACCTAATGCTTATAATAAATATGTAATAATGGACTTTATTTAAATGTACGATGCTTCGGCGCGAATGGATCAGTTCCTGTGTATACCATACCTCGGCCTCACAGTCGACCGGCAAGAAACAACGCTTGTTTTGTGAATCAGGTTACGGAGGCCTATTTTAACCTTCCTCCATTTATATACTATAAAAGTGGAATACTTTAATCTATACTTATATTATAAAGAGGTAAATGTAAATTTTGTAAGTTTGTATGTAGGGGTACCTAATCTTCGGCACCATTCGCTGGTCGGGTTTCCAAAATTCTTTCACTAATTGATAGCTACAATATTCCCGAGTGCTATAGGCTATAAAACATCACGCTACAATCAAATGGAGCCGAGCAGCGAGAGTAGCTAGTTTTACATAAATGCATCATGAAATACAAATGAATTCTCAGTATTTTATTAATAAAAATAAATAACAATGTAAAACTCATGTAATATAGGGTTCATTAATGAAACTTACAATTAAAATATAAGTAGGTATATAACTTACTTATGTACAGTCAGCACAGGTTTTAAGAACAAGTACATCGGTATTTCATTTTGTAAATATCAACCGTATTATTTGAAGCATAAAGTAGTAAATTTAATGAAGATTCTATACAATTTTGTAGTCTATGTGCTGGCGTATTTTCTAGAGATTTAAAAACATGTTAATATATTCAAATTAGAGACCTAAAGAGGCTTGTCAACAAACCAAATAACATTTAAAACATAAAATAAAGGATGGATGGATGGATGAATTATTTTTTCTTACAAAATAACAAGTATTGGTATGGTTTCCGAAACCCTATTTTGACTGGTGTGGCGTCAGAGAAGGACTTGCTTTCCAAGATTTTAGATCTTGCCAATGAGGTTCACGAAGTATCTTGTAGGCCAGGGTAAATATCTTTATATTTAATAACAGTATTTAAGCTAATCGTTAACGGTATGAGCTAAATATAAATAAACGAGTATGTAATTGAAACGGCTTTAATATCATTATGTGTAATTATCAAGTTTACTTGAGGCAGCTGTAACATAGAGCATAAATTGCACCTCGTTATAAAATTAAAGTTTAAGTAATTATTTCACACTTCGGACCATGTTACTTCACGCCATAAAACCATTTATTTTACTTGAGAGTATCATAAACACCCATATACATATATATAAACATACAAGTATTTTTTTATTGAATTAGTCATCAAACGAGCATCACCTGATGATAAGCAATCAGCGTCGCCCATGGACACCCGTAGCAATGCAGGAGTTATGAGTGCGTTGCCGACTATTTGGAGATTAGGGATTTGGAGATTTGGGATTTGAAGATTCTGGGATTGGGAATGGATTGGGGTAGGGAAAGGATTGGGCCTCCGGTAACCTCACTCACATGGCGAAACCCAACGTTGTGGTTGTTTCACGCCGGTTTTCTGTGAGGCCGTGGTATCATTCCAGTCGAGCCGACCCATTCGTGCCGAAGCATGGCTCTCCCACATTTAGATATTGTGTGAACAAAGCTCTCCAAAAAATAAATTTGACATGGCTAATTAATCATTACTATGTACGTTAAACGCAATATCAGTCTATAGCATCAAGTTATGACAACTTATCTTGCATGAGAAATAAAATGGTAGTTTTTTGACCACACAGTGACGTAGGTACGAATACTTAATGTTATTAAAAAATATTTAATAAATAAGTAAATCGTAAAATATTATTAACTCTATGACGTTGTCTCATTTAGAATAAAGCCTCTTTTTGTCTCATAGCTTAAAAACTTACTTGTAATAATTTCCTACTGTTGCGAAGAGCCTATTATTCTAAGCTAAGTGCATACGTCAAGAACAATTGAAAGAAAGATTTGATTAATAGTTTGCGTTTTTTTGCAAATACTATAAGTATCCAAAATGCGCTGAAAAATATCGAATGTCTGTCTGGAGACTTAGTAAAAAAAATGTCTTAATGTGTTATTTGCTTTTCAAGGATTTTGTATTGCTCTGACGAAAAAAACTCCATCGAAATATATTTCTTAAAGTTTATATTTTGTATATAACTTAAAGTAGTATACTCTTAAACAGTTTTTTAATTGTGTTTGGTTTCTTTTCTTATACATAAGGTAATATCGGTCCTATATGCCTAAAACATTGCCCCGTTTACATGTTTTTTTACAGTTACATTGATTTTATTCATTATTAGTTGTGTGATTAACGTAGTTTCTTATCACGCGACTGCATAGAAATAGAGATGCACTCTCGACCCCGGAAAACTATTGAAACTGTTGCATTGTAATGCAATTCAAAATACAAGAGTTTATTTCTTTGGATACCAAAGAAAAACGTCACTAGTTCACCTATTGCAAAATAACTTATTTTTAATTAAAATCTATTTGCTAAAATTATTTGTAGCAAACATTATTTTAGAATATAGTATTTATTTGTATTTAAAACTAAGAAGGAAGTACAAAATAGGCGGTAATCTGTAATCAGATTTTAGGCGGATTTGCCTCAATAATTTCACTATGGTTTCACTTAATTTTAGGGTTAATTTCAGCGAGCTTTAACTATTTGCTTGCGCACACGACGAGCAGTGAATAGGAGCAATTTATTGTTGTGTCTGAGACGTCATTGTTGTTTATTTCTACGACGCCAATCTCTTGGGCCACCGCGTAGTAATCTTGCATGAACTCTTCATACACATCTTTCGGCATATCGAAAGGCTCAATAGCTTTTATTGTATCTGAAAAAAGAAGAAAAAATGTTAACAGAAAATCAAAAAAAAATAAATTTAAATACAATATATAAAAATCAATGCCACTTTTCGTTGTAATCTTATAACTCAAACGTGCCTTTACGATTTAGTCAATTTTGGCCTTGAATTATTCGTGGAAGTTTGTACCAGAGAGAAAAAAACTGTAAAATAGTCTAAAATCGCTATTGTTTTAATGAAAATTAAAACAAATGAGAAAAAGAATTTTCGTGGTAGAAAGTACAAATACTCACTTTTCATAGCTTCCACGCTGTCAAATACAAAACGCATTTCCTTGCATTTGACATCAATATTTTTGAAACCTATTTCTTGCATCATTTGGGTGACCTTTTTTTCTGGTTCCTGAAATATGAAATATTTATGTTAGGAAATAGCGATATGTTACTGATTACATTGTGTTTAACGTGTCTTTTTAGAAAAGTGGTTTACGTAATCAGGAAGTAGTTTCCGATAGTATTTCTGGTTTGCAACAATGTATCGGATAGATATGTACCTAGTGATAAGATTTTGAGATATTTGTCAACGTGAATGGTGGTCACGTGTAATCATTTAACTTGTAAATTGACTATGATTTTGTTGCGAACAATTCGCAAGTAGGTAATGTCATTATGTATTATTTTTCGTCGGCTTACATATATCAAAATTGCTTTATTACATCACTACGCACCTACGTCATTCATTTTTTATCAATATTTTAATCAGTATTGCATTGAAATACGGCAAGAACCAAACTTAGTTCCTTCAGTTATCTTTTTATTTAGAAGCATTGCCCATCTACACCCTTATTGTTACCTTTGCTGCTTACGATATTTGAAATTGATCTTTATAATCTTATACAATAAATTTAAAAATAAATGACAACGCACCTGCATATCGTGATAAGGTGATATGAACTTTTTGACATCTTTCAACCAAGATTCCCACTTGGAGCATTGTGATAGGATACTGTAGACGCTGTACAAGGGAGCGTAGCCAAGGAAGGTGAGGAGACAGTCTCCGCCTTCTTCTAGAAGATTATAGATATTTCTAAATGCCTTCCTGTAACACAAAGAAAATAACACTCAATTATAAACTAATAAGGGATATAATACATCGAAAGTATCGACAGTCACATTTATATAGACAAATTTGATCATTACATGCTCCTTTTAGAATCAGAAGTAGTAACAGAAGACGGTTTGTGGTTAGTGATATTTTTTGTGTTCTTTGGAAAGATGATAATGGTATAATTAAGGCAAAGCAATAACTTACTCTTGATTTCGTATCCAGTGCAGTGCATAAAAAGAGAACACGTGGTGGAATGCTGAATACATTTCATCCGGCAGGTCTCCCTGGATGTCCAGCACCTTGAACATGGTGACTTCATCACTGTGATGTTCATTTGCATATTTGACCGCCTTTTCGCTTATATCACATGCGACCAACTTCTTGTAATTACTGGGCATGTATTTCTTTAAAATAACAGTAACGCTTCCATCACCACATCCTAGGTCAATGGCGCTGTCTCCAATGTTCTTCCAGTTAATTTTCTTCGCATATTCATTAAGACATTGGACTGCTGCATTCTTTTGTAATGAATTAGCCATGTTGTACAATTCTGGATCATTCATTGTGGTTCTGTAAAATGGAATAGGTTAGGTACTTATGCAGGAAGTGTTTTCAATGTAGTTTCCAGATGATTATCAAATTCTTTTCATTCAAGCCTCAAATAGTTTTCCTGTTTGAGTAATGTTCTAACATTGTTACAAGGCGATTTCGTACTAAGCTTACCGAAAATAGACCAGCGTTATCAGCCCGGGATCGCCTTCGTCTGTCTTTTTGTCAATAGTCTTTTGTGATAGGATTTTTTCTATCGATAGCCGTCATCTGACATTATTACTTGTACTATATTCTATACTCAAAGAGGAAAGACTCTTGCGCAAAATGTTCCCGACATTGCGTTCTATTTTTAATTGCCTATAGAATTGTTTAGTTTTATACATTGTGGCTAGAGGTCACATCGTTTCCTGTTCCAAATCTTAGATTTATGAAATAACTATATACTTAGAATATTTTTAGAATATTGGACAGTAAATAATAGATGTAGATATTTAAGTTAGTCACTAAATTCAAATCTATGAGTACGTATGTAGTTCTATGAACCAGTAGTAGGCGATAGGACCTCTTTATAATTATGTATCACCTCTTTCAATTCAATGAAGTATCAAGTAGATACCTGACTGACTGACAAGTCTGGGAACCTACACTCATTTAATATTTTAAAACACTTAGTGTGTTGCAATTCAAAAAAACATTTAATCCGTGATAAACACTAATTGAAACAGGACGTATAGATAAGCTGATACGAATATTAATATTAATATAAATAATCTTTTATGAATCTTTTCCCTCCTTGTAAGTGTAAAAAATTAATTCAAGTCAAACAAAAATATTCATATTTTTTAATATTATTAATAAACTTGAGTATGTTTTAATATTTATAAAATGTTAACCGTTGGAAAGGTAAGTGGTTTTTTGAAAATTTTGACACGATTGTAAAATAAGTAAATAAATGTATGATAAGGTATGTTTTAATATTTTATTTGATTAGTTTCAGGTAGTTCAATTCAAGTGCAAGGTCTCAGCTTTCATGTGTGAATTGACATTCAGCTCACGAGTGCACGGCTGCATCGTTGCGAACGTCACGACCGCCGAATAAGTGCATTGCCCTGCGCCAGCGCATCGTTTTTGTATTCTTTATACAAGTTTTTTTGCGTCGACGGTATCTACTCAATTGGGTTAGGATACCTGACCTGGCGTAATGTGATTTATATTGATGACGAAACGCATATATTAGATGACGAGTTTACTGTTAATAACGAATTATGTAATTATTATCCATAGCAAATGTTACGTTATTCATGTTTCATATTTGGTTCGGATTTATTTCCCGACATTATGCGAGTTAGTAGGTGCCGTGTTCTTTTAATAAGAACTTTTTAATACAAATATTACGTAGGATTGTTATGGTAACTATGTAGGTTTATTACTAGAAACTTAAAGGGAGTCTCAACATTCCCAATGACAACACCAAAAAGCCCATTCATATCAATAATCATCGTCTAATGTAACTAAGTGCATCAATATAAAACAATATGAAAGTAAGTATAAGAAAGGCTTGCATTTTATATCGTCCCAAACTGGTTGTCTGGCTAAAAATTCACATTTACATACATACATTGAAGTATGTACGAATAATGTACCTACATATGTAAGTATGCATTAAACCAAAAAATATACGCGGTGTAATCTAAACTCGTATTTCAAGGCCAGAGTTAAAAACCCAAGAAAAAAATTCAAGTTGGTGCATCAGTGCGACCATACGCCATAATGCAAGTGCACCGAACACTGAACGCGGTATACAGTTTTGATATTTGTGATATCATTTATATTTAGTTGAATTTTGATTTGGTGAAATTTATTTTAAATACTCAGTTTGATCCGAAATACTGTCTGTCCATGAAAAATTAGGCAATTACAAAAAGACTGCCTATGAAATATATTCGTTTCAGTTTTATAATCTGATGTTAAAGAGGTCCTATGTCACACAGCGTCGGATTTCTAAGAAAAGAATAAACCGTAGTATCCGGTTGTCTCACCCACAGTTTTCCTCACATAAAACTGTTATGAGAATTTTTAAACTGTTGTGAATTTGTAAAAAAAATCTGTATTTTTAAAAATGTTGCTATTATGAGAATTTTTAAACTAAAACTTAAGCCTAAAAATTCTCATAATAGCAAATTGGTAATGAGATTATAATTTATAATGTAGATATATTACGGAAACAAACATAGACATAGAAAACTAGTCACTAGTTAATAGTAAGCCATATTTTATTTGTTCCAATGAGATTCAAGTATCAATACTGGCCCCAATACGCGGTGGTAGTTCCAGCAATGTCACCCCGACTGGGTTCAACCGCCGAACGGGCAACAGCAGGAAAAAGGGCTCATATTTAGGGAACTTTATTGTACCAGTTACGCACTTAACTTACTTCATATTAAGAGACATTATTTTAAATCCTCCTTTTTATATAAAAGGTTACGTCGATGACAGATATTTACTGGATATTACAAACAGTTTCATAGATGTCGCGGTCAGGTAATTTATAATCTTTATAAAATTATGATAAATTAATTATCTTTATTTATTTTTTATATAAAAAATGTACCTATAGTTTTGTATAAACCCTATATGTATATACGTTATCAAAATGCAACAAATAAATTTTAAGAATCGCGTAGAAATGTTCACACGTTTAGGGGGCAGGTCCTTTCTGGATTTGTTTTTTTTTACAAAACTGGAGAGAGCAGCTTATTTTAAATGTGTGTGTAGTTTGTAATAAATTGATCAGATTTCTTCATTGGTATTTTTAAAAGATAGGTACTACGCATTATTGGGTTATTTGACATAGCCCAATAACTATCGGCCCAACAAGCAGGCTCAAAAAACCCGTTTATATTCGCAGCTCGTTTTATTGCATTTTTTTATTTGCAAAATACATGTCAAATTATGTGAATTAATTACATATTTCAAGTCCATTAATATTAAATAAAAGAATATAAAAATTAATTTATGTATTTTTTTTTTATTAGCTAACCAATAGTGTTGTGTTTTTGAAATATTTTAATTTGATTTTTTGTGGAGTTTTCCCGGACGGATTCTCGATGAAGGTTTAAATGCATTATCGAAACAGATTTAAACATAGGCGAGGGGTTTAGAGACAAGCAAAGCTTAGCCTTAGTAAACAAAAAAGTAGATGTAAACATACCTAATTCTTGTGAAGGTATGACGCAAAAGTCTGCTAGAAATATGTTTTAGTTTAAATATATTTTTCTTAATTCATTGTTATAGCTCAATTAGTAATTCGATATTCTATATCTTAACATAGTTATATGGGTATCTAATCGGCTGAATAGAAAGATTGACATTGACATTCAATAAATTATGTCATAGATTTATTTTGTTTTTGACAATGCTCCGACAACGAATGCCTCTAGCAAATGGCATCAATGCTAGAAGCATTTGTCAGAGGGAAGCGCTACTTAAATAAAAATGGGATACATGACGCCCAATGTTAAGCAGCTATTGCTTTCAAATGAAACCTGTATTGAATCACAGGCTTGGTAATATCTTAAAGTACTTTCTGGAGATACAGAGCATCGACCTGATTGGTCACCGGTTTTTAACCTGTGACGCAATGCCAGTGAAAGTTGGGACAATATTGATACTGTCTTCTGGTGGATAGATAACCATATCTGAAACGATGGAAAGTTGACCTTACTCAACATTTTTGTTAGTAGTTAATTCTCATGGTAATGTAATGTAAGCCAGTTTGTTGAACCTAACGATGACGTTAAGTATCTTTAACGGTGGAAAAACAAGTTAATCTTGTTATTTGGAATTCAGTTAAAAGTTTGTTATCTGTGCAGTAAGTAGGTACCTACTAAATTACCTAATAATCGTCTTTATACATATTCATAAATGATCAAATGTTAATTAGTAATGATAACTTGAAAAGGGCTCGACTACGATTTTGTTATTATGGTTTTAAAATATTTGTCAATGTCAAGTTCATGGAAAGTTTAAATGGTGAGAAATGTATACTAATATAGACTAATATTATAAAGAGGTTAAATTAAAAGGTTTGTATATGTATATGTTTGTAGGGAGTAATCTCTGGAACCGCTGGTCGGTTTTACAAAATTTCTGACTGATAGATAGCTACAGTGTTCCTGAGTGTTAACCTTTGACTTCAGAATACAGAACAAACTGAGCATTGACTGATAGGAGTCTCCCTACGACTAATACGAGTCGAGCAGCGGGTGAAATCGCGCGGCAGAAGCTAGTTATGTAAAAATTGCAACAAAAAGCAGGTTAAAGTTACAGAAACCGTCAAAAATATTGTTTATTTATCTTAACATTAGTTGACATTAAATATTTTGTAACTAATAAAATTCATTATTCATACATTCAAATTATTGCACAGGCGTTTGTTTTCTGGTTGTAAAATTGATTAACGTTGCCATATTTGTTAATTTTAAGGACGTACAAACTACGCCAGTTTAGCTCATTCCATTTGAATCTACACTTTGGAACAAGCACCTTCATCACCAGCTTCAGACTACCTGACTATAATTCTATTTTGACGTATCAAAAGTATTTATGGTTTAGTTGGAGTAAATGATTTTGACTTCGACTTTAACTTTGACTTCAGCTGGTTTAAAAAACCAAGTTTCACAGACAGACACAGGTTTAAATGATGTTTGAAACTGTCTTAGATTTAGTTATTATGCGCATGTGTTAGATTGTCTTACTATGATTACTTAAGGGATCGTGATAAGACCAAGGACCTTAATATTATAAAAAAAATGTATCATTCAGTTTTCCATGTGTAATAGATTCACATTATAGTACTTACCTAAAAAAATTACTAACATGATACGCGAAAAAATTTAATTTTTAATATATGTACATACATAATTAACTATGAATAATATGCAACCAGGAGTTACAATCAGCTATTAAGTTGCTATTATTGTTAATTGTTAATTGAAATATGACTTCGGTAC